TCTAAGATAGTCGCAGGAAGACCCCTAAGGCTAGATCCTAACTCCTACGAGGAATACTAGACCTCACGAAAATTGAGGTCAACAGGGTCGTCACTCCACCTAGATGGTCATATAAATTATCGATAAAAGATAGATTTTCTCTAACATAGCACTTATCAATAGCTCTCATAATATCAACGATTTTCTAGCTTTCTGTCATCGTCTAATTCCAACAATTTTTAAAGTTTCGTCTTCACCAAAATATTAAAAGTCGGGAATGTCACATCCTTGCATAGTATACTTGTAAGCACTCGTGTACTAGTTTTTCCATAACATCAATTATGACATTTTTTAAAACATAGTACATGTAGCATGCATTCATAGAAATTTCATATACATGTATGAATCAAAATTGATATGTGCAGTGTATCATAACATAGCATAACATCATATGTATCGTAAAAAAGTCAACATGCATTCATACATTCACTTAAATGTATTCAACAACAATATGCAAGAATTTCTAAATGCATCAGTGTGGAATGTGAAATGACATAAAAATCAAGAGAAGATTATATTTTTTAAAATTATCATAAGATTATTTTACCTGACTTAATGGAGTAGCTATACGACAAGTGCCCACATGCTCGTGTCGAGCTCGCCGCCTCGTATAGATAACTTGGGAATTCATAAGCATCGTAAAAATTCATGAAACTTGGCTTATTTCATAATTTAATCGAAAACTTGTCTTATTTGAAAACATAACTCAAACAGATTTTTCGACATAACTCAAACATTCACCGAATTAGCGTAATCTTCTTTCTATCACCTCCAACCTTGCTGATTTTGTGCTAAAACTCTTACGGAAGCACACAAACCACTTTCGACACTTCCGTCACAACTTCGACGCTTTCGACGGCTACTGAAAATTTAAAATACACGAAAAATGAGTCAAAAGTCTAAACGGAAGTATTAGGAAGGAAAGGAAAGTCTCGAATATCGTGAAAGAAGATTTCGTAATTACAGAATTCTCATTGGAGCTCTGAATCGTGCTGTGCGGCTTACCAAGCTCTCGCTCAATCGCCTCGCCTAGCACCCTCCTACAGTGGTGCGAGCAGAACTCCTCCTACAGAGCTGCTGTAGCCTGCAGCTACATGGAGGAGAAACCATAACAGGGAGGGAAGAATCAGGAGATGGGAGGAAATTTTGAAGCTTTGGAGCCCTATTCGATCTAAATATGGTGAAGGAAGTCGGTTGTGAACAATCGAGAAACGGGATTTAGGGAATAATTAAGGTTTAAATAAAGTCTAATTAATTTAATTAAACTTCAAAATTTTATCTCTCAAACTATTCATAATCATATGAAATTGATCGATTTAATGCATAAAATTTTATAAAAATAATTCGATTTACTTTTGGGGGATGTAAAAGTTGGGATACTTTTAAATTTTATCGAACTTTAACTGGGATCTCAAATTTGGGTGTTACACTCCTGGTTAAAAGGCTTACCTTCTTTAGATGATATATGGATGACCAAAGATGAACTGCATAAGCTAGCATCAAATCTCTTGGATGACTGCATAGAAGAGAGTTCTTTGTACTCCAGGGAAATTGATGCAATAAAATCACCTAACCATGCTAAATTAGCCCGCAAATGCTCAATGAGAACTTAAAATTTCACAACGAGTTTGAATTGATTTAGCTTTATTTCCTTCTTTGACACTTTTCTTTTTGCCTGATTTTTCTTGTTTTAATTTGAATTATTTTATTAGTTTTAAGTATTCTTTTTGGATTTTAAAGGTGTGAATTTAAATTTTTTTCATAGGATTAGATTTGATTTCAAGATAAGGCCGTATTTGAAAATTTTTAATTTATATTTTGTCTCATTCTTAGAACACAATCTCTATACATAAGAATTGATGACTTTAGCCTGCAATTGATTATTAATGAATGTAAGATTATTTTATAACTCATTTGAGTGCTTTCCTTTCAACTTAAGTTGTTTCCTCGGAGTTTTTTATTTACGTTTCATCAATGTAATTCATGAATGACAATATTAGCTCCGAACTGAGTGAAGGTACCAACCAACATTTTGAAACGCTAAACCTTGATGTTGAATATAATAAATAAGGCAAGCGTCTATGCAATGCTAGGGCTATAGATTGCTTGTGGTTGTTGAGCATATGTTTCAGGCCAAGATCTTGTGAATGAGACGTACTATTTGAATGCCGGTAAGGGTAAAATACTGTGGTTTTGATGTTGTAATAGCTGCAAACAAATCTTTCGATGGCTACCACATAGCATCAGCTCTGATTTTTCCTTTGATAAGTTCCGGCTGCTTTGAAGCATATAGGCAGCCTTTAGTGTGCAGAATCTACATTGTAAAAGGAGTGAATATTTTAGCTCTGAACTAAAATAAATCAAGTAAAATGGCATAATTCAACTTGAAATCATAAATACTGAATGCAGTTAGCCATGCTCATGTGGATTTCTTAAACTTTGTAGTTCCTTTTTTATTCTAGTGTCATGGTTATTTGCCAAATGTGTTTTCGTAACATTTTACAGTCACATAATTGTCTATTTGGTGCATGCTAGTTTCCTGTGTGAGTATCATGAGATATATTAGAATCGATAATTAAGTTTGATATCTAACTTCTTATAAATTTTTGATATTTTGCTTTTAGATTGGGACTGACAGGCTCCCATTTGAGTTGGAGTGAAATTATGGTTTAAAATTTTTTGTTTAAAATTTTTTATTATGACTTTATGCAAAATGAACTGGTCTTGCAAGTTTAAAAGAAAAGAAAAGCTGGTTTTGCAAACTTGTGTCTACTGCGAGACACCAAAGCAATCTTAACAAACCATTGGCTATTATTGGTTTAGATATTTATACTTCGAACAGCAAGACTTGAATTATACACACTCCAATTATATTAATGTTGAGTTGAACAACCTTACCGCTGCCCACCTCAAATTTTTTTATTTCCTTTAATAAAATGTTAATTATTAGAAATTCACCCAACCTTAATTTATAATTTTGCCCACTTCTCACTAAAAAAATGTCCAACTTAATTCTTTATGCTTTAAATATTTCTAACTTTTTTACATTTTTATCTATCTATTTTTTTCAATTATAAATTTAATAGTATTATCTTGCTAGTTGAGTGTGCTATTTATCTCTCTCTCTCTCTCTCTCTCTCTCTATATATATATATATATATATCTATATCATTATTTACTTATTATATTATTTAAATTTTGCCTGCTTTGCAAGAATATGTTGGTTTCGCCCCTTGAAAATGTCTACTTTATTGACTAGAACTTAGACTTTTGTACTATTTTTTTAAGATAATGAATTTTGTTATGGAAATTTTCTGAATACTTCAAATGTAGTTATATTTTAGGTTGTTAGTGACTGTTACGATCTCTTTCATCTGTTAATGAAATTCTTCACAAATTTATCATCTTGAATATTTTGGAGAAATTTAATTTCATACCTCAGTGCATCTCATCCGAGGAAATAATTTTATACCTGGTTGGTAAAAAGAGCAGGAATTACAAAATTTATGAATTGCATTTAATTTTCTTACTAGAAGAAAACCTGTTTTGTTTTTCTAAATAATATTTATAATCAATGATGGCTTGTGGCATAAACCCTGCCTTTGAATTTCAGAGTATTTGATGCATGTAAAAAAAATGAACATTTACGTACATATCATCCAATTCTTATGTTTTCACATATCTAATTCCTATACTTTCCTTTTTTATATTTATACCACCCAAATAATTATATCACATAAAAAACTATTACTATTTTAACTTCTAAAATTGAAATACACTTTTTCATATATAGATAAGGTCGCATATACCTAAAAATTGAACTTAAGGTGTTAGGTATGTAAATACATAAGAATTGAATGCTATGTATATAAATCTTCCAAAATAATCCTGGGGAGGAGGCACTGTTCATCAATAGCTGCAGTTTTATGTCCTTTGTAGGGCGATATAATACCACTGGCATTTACTGGTTCTTATCTTAAAATTAATATTTATACCCATGAAATCAAGTAGTATGAATAATTCACAAACTTTAAAGCCAAGTGAAAATTGTCCAACTGCAAATTGCTTGAGATATCCATTTGAACTGTTGCATTCTCTTTATTATGATCGATTAGGATTTTTAATTCTCCATTTTTTATATCCCCTCCTGATGCTACGCTTAGAAGAAATGGCATTCTGACTTTAAGTGCTTTGATCTAGACACCAATAGCAGACATTGAATTTTTTCATTATTATGAACTGCAGTTAGGAAAGATTTCTAGAGATGAGATTGAAAATGAACTGGTGAAAGCAGGGGTTTCATTTGTGGCTGTAAAAGGAATAACCGAAGTTTTGTCTCTAAAGTCACTGTCAAAACTTGAAGGTTTGTACTCTTATTATCTCTATGAACTTCTGCAGAAGATTTATTTTTGAGTTTTTGGTAGCTTCATGGTAGAAATTTTAATGCTTGTTTTGTGTTTAGTTTTTTAAATTCTGGCTCATCTAACATTCCCTCACAAAAATTTTAAAGAAGGAATAAAACAATCAATAATATTAGGTTCTTGTGACATTGGTGTTGTACATCTTTTCTGCTAGTTAAGATAAAAGATCATAAAAGTGAAAGCTCTAATAATATCACATTATCCATGCGTAGAGGTTCTCGGATCGGAAGTTGAAGCTGTTACTGATCTGAGAATTTTTACTTGCTGAACATTATGGCTATTCTCAGTGGATAAACTTTGATGCATCTGTTGTCCGAGGACTTGCCTATTATACTGGAATAGTTTTTGAGGTATGCTTTGGACTTAAAATTCGTTCCCTTCTAGATCTTCTCCTAGTCTAAGAGTATTAATAAATGAGGTATTTACAGGCCATGTACAGGATTACTTTTTGATGCGTAATAAGGTTGATGATATTTGTCATTATTTTTTCTCTTAGCTTTTACAGAAGTTTTATTGTTGTTGAGTTGATACTCAGTAATAGTACAATCACATTTTGTTGTAGCTTACAATCTATGTGCGTATTTCTCTTATGCTCGGCCGACTTTGCTCTATTTGTGCCATTTTCTTATTGATCCTTCGGTGTTTATTGTGAAGGTTGATTCTTTAAAGCTATTTTTGGGCAAATCCGTGATAGCTTAATAATGATTCTTTTATGGATACATGAGGTTTCTGTGCCATGGATGTTTTTCAAACAGATTTGTGTAGATCTAATATATTCATGGATGCTCTTGTGGAGTCAGGAGGCTTATTGTGCTGCAGTTGTTATTTAAGCAGATTGGTAGTGATCGCTATCAATCTTTTCCATAAAATTAGTTTGTGAAATTTTCTTCTTTTGCTTTTTGCCAGTTAAACTATACTGATTGGTGGTGACTTGCTTTAGTCGTCGGGCAGAGCTACATGGTTTTTTAGAATTTTGAGCTTTCTCTTTGATTTTCAATCGAGGTCCCCTTCATATGAAGTTTGTGGATCCATTTATGCTTTTGAGAGTGACATTTTCATTATTTTTGACAAAATCTCAGGAATTTTCATGGGATAGTTTATGTTGATTTGTTATTATTATTATTATTATTATTATAGACCATTCTTTTAACATTTAAGTAACTTTTAATCTTAAAACTGAGTGATCTTGGCCTTGTTATATTCCCCTTGTCATGACACTCAATTTGATTATTACCATGTAAGATTTAGAAATGTTTTAACATTTCAAGTAATTACCTTTAAGTTTCTATTCATATTTTAAATGCTTTATATGGGCTCATTTTGGCTTAGATCAGTTCTCTTCTCTTTTGTAAGGTTCATCTTGTTGAAACATCTAGTTTGATTATAAATTTGTGAAAATTAGAGTTAGGATGATTTTGAATCTAGCTCCAAATTTGTTTAAGTTGAAATGCATTGAAATGTGTGCTTGATCATTTGGTTTTTTTTGTGACATCAATTAGTACCCCTCAATGTTTTAAATAGGTTCAAGGGCACCAAATTTCAACATTCATATTTGGGTGATGTCTCCATTTTGTAAAGGAATTCTCTCTTCCCTTTTAGGATTTAGATGCTTGTTTTTCTCATTCCCTTTAAATCCTTTGATTTAGATACTGTATAGAACATGTAAAAATGGATATCTCTTCTTGTTACTAAGATTTAGATGATGTGCTCTCTCTCACCATCCTTTAGAATTAGTATATATTATCAGATTAGATAAACATTTATCATTTTTAGAAAATGTGCATGCAACTGTTTGCACTAGCTACCAGCTGCGATTTTTTTTCTTCACAAAAGTTGTCTTTCAGAAATCTTGCAATACGAAAGATTTATGGATCAAAACTGTCCAGTTTGTTGATTTTCATGCTCCTATGCCAATGCCATGAAACAAAGATCGTATCTTCCTTTGAATGTGGACTGCCTATCCGTCTTTGGATAAAATTCTTAATCGGTTGCCATAAGGTTTTATTTTTGTTTATAATAGCTGTATTTTCTTAAAGCTATTGAGAACTTTCCAGTTTATGTAAAACTGTCGTGTAAGTTTCATTTCATGTGCATCTCCTTGAAAAACATTGCATGTGCATCTCCTTGAAAATATTTTGGAGCAATCACATATTTAACCAGCTAAAGATTGCTATTTACAAATCTAGCACCTTCATTTTTCAAATTCTCACTCAAATATCAAAATTATTGATAACATCTCAACCCATATTTTTCATTTTTATGAAATTCTCGATAGTTTAATTGTGGTACGTGTAAATGCATCGGTTCAATAGTCCAAAGAAATAACATGGATGTTTGTTTTGTAAATAGCAATGTTTCAAGTTCTATTTATGTAATTATTCCAAATATTTACATCTACAGGCATTCGATAGAGAAGGAAAACTAAGGGCTATTTGTGGTGGTGGAAGATATGACCGTCTGTTCTCTACTTTCGGTAGTGATGACATCCCAGCTTGTGGATTTGGGTTTGGGGATGCTGTTATTTTGGAAGTAAGAATGCCTTTGGCTGCTATTCTGAATTATCATAGTTATCTTGATAATTACTTGGAAAAGTGTCTCTAACATGTTGTTTTGTTTCCTCTCCTTGCAAATCATTTGTGGCAGTTGCTGAAGGAGAAGGGTCTTCTACCTGATCTTAGTCGGCAAGTAGATGACATCGTATTTCTGTTGGATGAGGAGCTTGAAGGACCTGCGTTAAAAATTGTTTCTTCACTTAGACAGAGAGGACGAAGTGTTGATCTTATACAAGATAAACGTCTTAAATGGTGTGGTCTTAAACCCCCTCTACACCCTCCTTTTCTAGTTCTATTTTACATTTTTTAATATCTCTAGAGCATTTGATTTTCTATTTTTTGTGTTTTTTGTTTGTTTTCGTTCTGTTTATGTTTTGTTTTGAAACAAGATATATCTGACATATTTGATTAAGATATGATTAATTTTAAAAATACTAAAAAATATATAAGAAAAACGCTAAATAAGTTTTTTTTTAAACCAAAGAGAAAATTATGATCCCAAACAATCCCTTAGCTTGTTAAATTTCATTTTTATTAACTTGTCTCTCTCTTTTGCATTATTCTGGAATTTGCGTTTTATATTGTAGTAGTTTAGGTAAAAATCCAATGTTGAATTCCTTGTGAAAAATCTCTGATATCCAGTAGTGGCTTATTTCTCTCTGAAAATAGAGTTAATGCAAGGATAAGTCTCTTCCATAGTTAAAACTTTTATTTATTGATTGATTTATTTTTCCATCAAGGCTATTCTTATTTTCAGCATTAAGTTTCAATCTATATTAACCAAAATTTTCTTGCACCCAAGAACAAATTTCAATCTATAGGATAGATTGCAAAAAAAATCTTTTTAAAAAAAAAATCCATATTATCATTTTTTTTTTTTAATTTGAGAAATTTCCGATAGAAATTCTATTAGTGATTCATTGCAGTATTTTTGTTCAGTACTTCAGTGCTAACTTTGTTTGATATTTTCAGGGTTTTCAAGCATGCTGAAAGAATCAATGCTGATAGGCTAATCCTTGTAGGCAATTCAGAATATCAGAGAGGTATGGTTCGTGTGAAGATTCTTGCCAGTAGAGATGAGTTTGAAGTTAAGATTGATGAACTAGCAGTGCTTTCATAAGTTATTGTAATTTTCTTATGTAAGAGAGAGAGTTCAAAAGAGGGAGGGAGGGAGTCATTTACGCTTAGATGCTCTTAATAAGTTCAATCCCCTCGTGCACGCTTAGGAGTTATCTGATTGATCCGCGTGACTCATGGTGAGAATATTGAGGCCTTTAATTGAGCTCAAATAGTTTGGATAAGCTTTATGATGATTGGAGATCACCCAAGCTTTGTAAAACGACAATAGCATAAATATTCTTTTCATACTTTTTTTTTTTTGCCTTTTTTGCTCTTTATGTACATATTCCCTCTCTCTTTAATACCGGAACAAGTAGAAAAAGCAGTAGAAAACATAAACACAAACTTTCATTTAACATTAAAGTATGGTTACAACATGATTCGAAGGGCAATAATAACATAAAACATAAAACGACGCCAGCAAACACGCCTAATGTATTCCAATGGGTGGTAGAGGTTGGCTAGGTGATCGAGATGATTTGTAGCGACGCTGACGGTCATGAAAGGCGGCTGGTAGCAAAGAGAAGGCGTGAAACTATAGGGACAACAAGTAAGAAAGGGTTGCAGGTGGTAGGTAGTGGTAGTGGAGTAGTTGGGAGGAGTTTGAAAGGAGTTAGGTAGACGGGACAACAATAATAATCTGTAGGGGGAATGGCTGGGTGTTGGGGTGATAGAGAGAGAGTTCGGCGGTTGAGGAGTGGAGAGGAGAGGGTTTGGGGAAAGGTTGAAGGGAGGATACAATCATTACCTCAGAGAGGATACAGTTGGAGCACCACCATCTCCTCAAATACAACCCACAAAAGGGAAAGATACTCCACACAGGAGATCAGAAGACAACTCTACTAGAGCTGTCCTACTTTTAGGAGACATCAATTTAAAGGCTTTCTTCTGACAAAGCAAGCTTCTACATAAAGGAAGAGAGTGGGAAGCCAAGAAAAATGTAGAAAACCTTAAATTTCAATGTTGGCGTCTATCTAGATCGCTTAGGTCAGTGATCTCCACCAGCTCGCTGTTCCCGCGAAGGTTCATGGGTTTTTTGTCCCCGGAAACGAAGCAATCACAGTCAGGTGCTACTCTAGGGTCTGCGTTAGTCGCCTGGGATTGGGAGAGGTTCGACTTCATAGGTCGAAGCTTCCGTTTAGTCGTAAGCCACCCTGGATCCCACTAGCGATTGCATTATCGCCTGAGATATTTGAGGGTCTTCACCAACTTGCGAGCAAATTTCCATATCGATTGGTCCTCTTCAGGCAATGGATCATGCTTGCACTGTTGAATCTTCTGGAGTAACACACGATCAATTCAAACAGGCGTGCAGTGAGAGTGATCTGACATTTCTCGCATGGCGGTTGTGTTGTTGGTAAAACATCAACTTGACATAACCTCGGCTGTGTATGTCCTGTATCTGGGGCGAGTGTCTCGGTCCTTTCGTCTGGTGTTATTACTGAAATTGGTTCCACTGATGATGCTCTGCTCATAAGTGACCTTTGGCTCCGTTGAAGGACGGAGAGTAATGTGCTTCCCTTCCTTTATGAAAGAATGTGTGTTTTTATATATGTCGTGTTGAGTCTTCCGGCTAAATTACCACGGTCTTCCCAACAAAAGGTAACAAGAATCCATGTGAACTGTCACACCACACCTGGTCTTGTAGCTGGCCCCCAATTTAAAACTTCACCAAGTATCTCCGATCGATGCTGACCCAATTCTCTTTTTTCAGCCACGTTAGTGAATATAGTAGGGAATGCTTCTGAGTTGTGAGTCCCAATTTCTATGTTATTTGTGTTGATGCTACATTCATGCTACTTCCGTCGTCAATAATGAGACTACATACATTTTTGCTTACTATGCGGCGGGTGTAGAATATGTTGTGGCAAAGCCACTATAAATTCCTATTGTCTTCAATTTATATGATCTGTCGAATAACAAATGTCTCTACTTCATCTGGGGTAAGCTGATACTGCTCATCCTGTTCCTCAGCTTTCTCATGTTTAATCTCTTCCACGCTGCCTTGATCAGTAAGTGAGACTACTATGGTTGTGGGACAACTGAAAACTACGTAGTCGTAACCGTGGCATTTGAAACATTTCTTGACTGATATAGTTTTGGAGGCATTACTTTTCTCCTGCTTTTTCGCTCTCTGATTTGGACTATCATTCCCGTGTCCAAGCTGACTAGTCTCTCCCGGGGTGCTCTTGTTAATCGTGGTGAATGTAGGTGATTACTTGCCTGAAGGATGTTGCTTAAAGGATGACTGTTGTATGTTTTCTTATGTTGTATTTCCACCTTCAATGCTAATATCTGGTCATCCTCAGTGTTCGTATGTTTACAATTGTACCACGTTGTTGATGGTGAGTTTCAAACCCCCGAGATATCTAGTTATTGTATGTTCCTCTGGCTCCCTCAGTTTGCATTTCAGCTATAAGTGTTCGAACTGGGCTGTGAAATCCTCAACTGAAAGATCCATCTGTTGTTGATTGTAGAGTTTCAGAAACATATCCTGGTGATAGTGGCGTAGGATGTACTTTTTCTGCATTACCTTTTTCATCATCTCCCACTTAGTTTTCTTCTCACTGCCTTCTCTTTTCCTTTGCTTCTTGTAAATTTTCCCATCATAGTAAGATATTTTTCTTTAGTTTAATGGCATCTAGCTTGCTCATTTGTTCTCTAGTACATCTTTATATTTGAAAATCCGTTCAATTGATTGCAGCTATCGATAAACTCAACAGAGCGAGGTTTATTTGGATGCCAAAGTCCTGCTGACCTCCATGACAGGTTTCTTCTTTCGACCTCCTTTGATATTGGATGTCAAAACAACTTAGTCGATATTTCTTGTCGCTATGATCTTCTATGTGGAACGAATTCTCCTTGTTTGTCTTCCCCTTGACTCTCTCAATCATGGTCAAATGTAATCTCTTCCTGGTTTTCATCATCCAGTTCTGCTAGTCACCGTTGCAGATGACGAATATCTCGTTGAATAACTTATTAGGTCGAGTCTGAAGTACTTGTTCGGGTGGCATGGCTAGGGTTGGAAATTGGAAGGAAAGAAATTGGTGGAGGTGAATTGGGTAGGGTAGGAGTGGTTCCTATTTGAGCCATTGTCATTTGTTTTTTCATTTCCAACCATGAAAATATAACTTTGAATTCTTCAAGACAGAACCACTAATCTTAATCAAGAGTTTTCTTGGATGACTTCGATTTTTTAAGATGTAATTAGCTGTAGGGGCTTACCTCTATAGGGAACTTGAAACACTGATAAAATAAACCCTACATAATCTTCATATTAGGTAGGAGAACTTGTCAGTCACTTATAAAAAGTTCACAAACCAAACATATGTCATAAATTCTATAGTTTATATAATCGAGCCCCTTTTTGTAGGTAATATGCTCATCACTTGGGATGAGCGTATTGCTTATAGGGTGGTGCTTGATTATTTAAACTAAGTATATAAGATATCTTCGATCTCATCTTTCAAAATTAAAATGTTATTTTCAAAAATCAAAATTACATATATTAAAATGAAATTGATTCAATTTTCAAAGTTTCGACCGAACCAAATGCTTGGCTGACAATTGCATGAGCAAACATGGAAAAAATTGAGGGCTTGAAAAAGTAATTATTAATGGAGTTCGAGATAAAGAATTTAAATCCAACCAAAAAGATTCTCGAGATGAGAATTAGTAGGGACGATAGTGCAGGTACAGTGAAATTCAAAGTATGTTGAGAAGATCCTACAGAGTGTCAACAAAAGTGAGTCAAACCCATTTTACATCCCCTTACGTAATCACTTCAAGCTATATAAGGAACAATCACCCAAGTTTAAAACAAAGCAAGCACAAATGAGGAGAACTTCATACATATGTTTTTGCAATTGGAAGTATGATATAAATTATGATTTGTTCGAGTCTAGATATGTCATATGCAGCGTGAGTGGTCAATAGGTACATGGGCAATTCAGGCGGGCATCATTGATAGGCGATGAAGTGAATTTTCAGGTATTTAAGGAGAATAGTCAATAAGGAGCTTTACTTTGGAAGTGTAGGAATTAGTTTACAGTAATTTTTAGATTTAGATCTGGTCAAAAATTTAGATGGTAGAAGAAGTACAACAATGTATATCTTCACTTTGAGGAACACAACAGTGAGTTGGGTTCGAGGCTGCATAAAATTGTTGCACTTTTAACTAAGAAAGTTGAATATATTGTTACCACTGAGGCTAGCAAGAAAATGATTGCGCTACATGATTTAAATGAAAAACTGTGCAAGGAGTAGGGGATTATGTTGAGAAATTAGGGCGACGAAAAATAGAAATCAACACAAATCCAGAAGAACACAAAGATTTAATGAGGTTCGGCAAAGATGCCTACGTCTTCTGGAGCGGAGCGGAAGAATCTGTCCAATCGGGGAGTTTCGTTTCTGTACTTTTTTTCTGAGATTGAAGGAAAGCCGCCGCTCTGCTCCCGAGGACATAGAAATCTTCTCGTTAAATCTCTGTGTGTTCTTCTGGTTTTGTGTCGATTCCTATTTTTCCTTGCCCTACATTTCTCAACAGAAAGTGTTATAGTGAGAGTATGAATGTTATTCATCTTACTAAGAACACTGTTTGTCATGCCATGACAAAATATATTTATTGGAAGTATCACTTTATTCACTCCTACAAGATGGACAATTATTCTTGTAGAAGATGCACAACTCTTAAAATCATGGAGATATGTTGATTTAAGGTAGTAACTATTAAGAAACTCGAGTTATGTATAGCTTCAGTTGGAGTTAAGGAATGTTAAGATCAGAGGTGAGCTATACTATGATATGTGACTATATAAATAGTACTGATGGAGGTACAAATCTGAAGGAGAGGTGTAAGATGTTAACAATCTCCAAGCGGGAGATTGTTGTGATATGGAGCTTGAAGGAGCGTCCATACATCCACAAGGAAGGATTCTAGTGCCATTCACAACAAGACTGGCATAGCAACGCTAGTGCTAGTATGCCAGACGATGTGGTTATGCCAAGTAGCAATATAGTTAGACCGTGGTTTCTTTCAATCTATACATTTGAACCGAGTGTGTGACATAATTAGGCGGGGTGTCAACATGATTACACCGAGACAGTTTCACTTTTAGGGGAGTTAAATCCCTCGACTTGAACTGACAACTTAAGCACATTATGGTGTTTGAGAGGTGGATTTTTGGAATGTGATTTCTTTTTTGCAATCAAGAGAGGATTTTGAATAGTACTATTGTAAGTTTCAATGTTGTATAGAGAAAATCTAAATTATAAAAATCTCTATACATCTCTCCTTTCATACTGAAATTTTGGTGGGTGTGGCTCCATGGTGTTTTCCATTCTTGAATTTTTTTCACATTAGATAGCTGAGACTAGGGGTGTAAACGCATGCTCGGCTCGTTTATATTTCGAGCTCAAAAAGTGTGTTCGTGTTCAGCTCGTTAAGCAACGAGCCGAACACGAGCTGTTCACGAGCAAAGAGTCATTTTAACAACTCTAATCATGTAACCATAAGACATAAGACAATAAGGGTTTGAGCAAGATTTAAAAATTATTGTTTATATTAAAACATCATTTGAATCTAATTTAATAATTTTTATTCTATTTTCTTAACCAATATTTTAATTGATTATAAATCTTTATAGCCTTCTAGTCAATTAGATTTTTTTTAAAATACCACTTTGATGAGTAGTATTTCGAGTCAAAACGAGCCGAACATGAACGAACACATCTTAGTTCGTGTTCGGCTCGTTAACTTATCGAATGAAATTAACGAGCCGAACACGAGCTGTTTGCGAACAACGAGCAGTTTAGACAGCCCTAGCTGAGACTAATCATTAAATTGCCATAATCTTCATTAAATTGGAGCTTGATCATAGCAACTATACACCTTGTCAACTCATCAATTTACAAGCTTGGGCACTTTGCTTGACAACTCTCTATCTTATATCTATTACATCACTACATTTTTTTTTTTTTGTATTTTTTATTTCATTATATATAGCTAGTTATGCATTATATTTATTATTTTCTCAAATCTATAAATAAAAAATCATAAAAATGGAAGATTTTCAGTGGTGGAATAAGCCTCTTTTTTAGGATGAACAAATTAGTTAAAAAAAATTGCACATAATTCAAAATAAAGATGTCAATATCATTGATAAATTAATTAATATTACAATCATTTCAGTCTATTTTCTATTCTTTTATAAATAAAAAAAATTCATGTTTTAATGTAAATTTTAGTGTTAAATATAATTTCATGAAAGTTCAAGTTTCATGTGAAACTCAAATTAAATAAAAAAAAATTATTAAAAAACTTAATAAATAAATGTATGCAAAATAATTAATAAATAAATTTACACCTTCAAGCTAACTATGATTTTACCTCATTTTTAATTTCTATTTGGGTTCACTCAAATATAAAAAAAATAGAAGTTTTTTAAAACAAATATATATTAAGAGTATACAAAAATAAAGTTTTTTTTTTTTTTTGAATATTGGGGCATTTACATGTATGCATACTATTCAATTCTTATGTGCATATGCATCTAGCATATAAACTTCACTTTGTTTACATTTATATTACCTGAAATTTTTATATCATATCAAAAGTATCAATATTTTAATTTTTGTGATGCCGCTATTTAAATTTTCAAAAGTGAAATACATCTTTTTATATGGGAATTTTTTATAACTTTTCTTTAAAAATATCAAAATGCTTTTAAACAAAACTTATAATTACAGAATTTACATCAATAAGTTCAACAGTTGTATAAAATTAATGAGCTCTTAATTGCTTTAGTTCCTATAAATTCACTAAACACAAAAGGTGAGGGCTCCGAAAAAGCATTATAATTCAGATGGGGCAAATAGTACATTTTATCCTCTTTATTAATAAAGCTTCAAATTATAGGAGGCCCAATGGCCCTCTCTGAAGAGTATTTGGGTACTTCACTCTGCCACACATTTCTATATCCACATTCTTTGAACAATAAATGATTATAATAAAATTTTCTTGGAGTAAAAAAAATAATGAAGCTTGTTTATCTACTTTCTCATGTGATGTGAGCGCAAAATAATATGTTTGGGCGAGTTGGGAATGATCAAAGTGCTACGAGATATATATACTAGTTGTTGTGGTATATATATATATATAT